GCCATGTAATGCCAAAAGGACAGAAAACAGATACATTATACAACAGGTTTGTATCTGAGCAGCAGCAATGACTCTGTCAATGACTTCTTCATCCCAGGTCACACTTCTAAAAGTGAGTAAACATTTGTTTTAAAGCCTCTAAACTCAGTAATTAGATTCTGTGTATTTGTCAAGTCTCACACCAAGTTACATATTAAGTATCTGAACTCGGTCTCATTTGCTGAACACACTGACAGCTCTTCTTTCACGCTATGACCACTGGCAAAGGAGAAGAGATATCTGTATTTTAATTCCTCTCTTATTGTAAAAAAAAAAAAAAAAAAAAAAAAAAAAAAAAAAAGAGAACAGCAGCAACAACAATAAACTTACCTGCAGACACTTGGTGGGGCACTTACAGAGCTGTCTGTGGTTGAAGTAGGAGGTGCAACTGTAGTAGGACAAAGACCTGAATGAGGATCCACAAAACCAGGGGCTGTTTTTTTTTTGGAAAGAAGGAGCAGCAAGATTTGGAAGATGTGGTGTAGAAGCTGGAGACAGTGCAGCAGGAGACAGTGAAGGAAGGGATGCTAAACTGGTAGGACTATTTCTTGGTGCAACTGGTGCTGAATGTCTATGGTCCTCTTTATTAATACTGTGGAACACTTCACCTAAATTGGGGAAAAAAGAAACCACTGACAACTGAAAATAAGTCTCCATTAACTACCCAAACAATCATGCACAGTGCTGGATGATCTCAGCTTCTACATGAATCAGCAGTATTTTAACACCTTTCTGTTACCAGTTCCAAAACGTAACACAAAATTCTTCAATACAGGAGTACAGAGACTGTAACTCAAGAGTAAGAAGAACAGCAATTAATGAAAATCAAGATGCATAATATTACTAAAATAAACACATATTAATCTTTATGCTTAGCTAAACGCACTTGAGTCATACATACATACGGTTACCAAGCTGTATGTGAATTACAAATCCTTACCTATTGATGAAGGTCTCTTGGATGATACTTTGAACTGGTTGCTGCTTGACTGCACTGTAGTTGCCGTGCAGGAGACAGAAGAAGTGGCAGAAGAGGTTGCCATGACAACTTTATTAGCTTCCATAAAGGCATCCTGGAAATTGTACAGACATTTCTTCTTTGCAGCATTTTTTTTCTCTTTGCTGTCAGTAACTGCTGTTCCTTCATTGCTAGATGTAGTAGGCAGTGCTTCCGGTCTTATTTCTGAGAGTCCTGGTGCTAATATATCACTCCCTTCAATTGAAACACACATAGTAATTACAAATCACAGAACTACAGAATTATCTTCATGGCATTTAGAATTAAACATTTAATCATTTAGATGCAGACAAGCAAGGATATGTTGTTAGCGTTGGCTTGCTAGGATTAGTGAAGTGATTCTCCTTTCTCCCTTCCTCTCCCCCAAATACAGCTGTAACAAAAACTGCTAAGAAGTCTCAGAGCAGAAGTCGTAAGTGTTAAAGCTACAATTTTAAGAACATTACCAAATGTGTGTTAACAAGCAGAAAAGATGCTATATATACCTTTATCCATGTGCAATGTAAAAACTAAAACTGGACACTATTTTACATGCTAAATATATAAGCTTCAATATATGAAGTCCAGGTTAGCAATGCAGCAATTATAAGCAGGAACAACAAATCCTTCTACAATACATCATAAATCCTATCTTCACTTATTGGAAATTCCAGCTAACTACAGTAACACTTCTGTGATAGACCTTCCACATGAGCTTGCCACTAACCATCTGTAGGAACAGTTACCCCTAACTACATCTGTAAATGGATGAGCTATCCTACTGGGGAAGTTCTCTGGAGGTTTTTACTGCCTTTGTTTTTAAATATCACTGTAGTAGCCTGACACAAGTGAGCAGCAGATCAGTCTGAAAAAAAGCCAACACACAAAACCAAGCTTCCTTTTTTCATACGAGTCAAAATAAAAAGGGCATTTTAATATTTGATATGATGTGAATGGAAAGATATATCTATATCTATATGTTGCTATTTCTCCTCTATTCTCTTTCACTTTAACCACTAGTATTTCTAAAATCTTAAATTAATCTTTTGCTTGATTTAATTTTGTCTTTTTGAATGACAATGCAGTTACCTCTGCACACTATAGAAAATAGTGTAGTACCTTGTTACCAGTGCTCTTACAACCCTGTAGAAAAAGAGCAGGCCTTTGTGGTAGAAGACCAAAAGTTATTTAAAGTTTCCTCGTAATTCCCATTTCTTTGCAACCTTAAACTTCTGAAGACAAAAATACCTTTACAATGACTGTAGGTGAAAAATAGCGTGCTATTCTTTTGCCCTTAGCACCCTCTCCCCAGTACACAAGAATTTATTTTTCAATTTTCAGCCCCACTGGAGTAGAAATGCCAGCAAAGCTCTGCCAGAACCCTGTCTTATAAAACCATGATGATGAAACCTACCATTCCTGGAAAAAAGTGCCACACTCAATTTCAAAACATAAGGCTTTAACTAGTCAGTGTGAAGTAGTAACAAACCCTCACCAGGAATTGTATCAGGCAAAAACGTAGCAGGATTCCAGTTCTTGTCATTCATCATCTCTGATCCCCAAAGACTTATAAACTTAGAGCTATTCCAATCTGGAGTGCTCCCAAAACAGCTTGGATAAATATGATCTTGGAGAGATGCATTGAATACTTGATGCTTGTTTGTATGATTCTGAACTGGAGCTGGCGGTAATGCCTACAAAAATAAAGAGTATTTTCCTCATTAATATTCTGCTTGCTTACACTGTCACTCCAAGAGCAATATCCAAATCATAGTGTTTCAATTGTGAAAGGCATTATAAAAAGCGTAATAAACATTTTTTCCCAGAACGATAAGAAGACTGGTCTGTTGATTTTTAATGTAGATAATATATTACACTCCACTGCTTGTATACACATGTATATATTTTCTAATTATAAACATTGCTTTTAGATTCAGCTGATGAATACAAAATATGCGTTCTCCAAAACACTTGTGTTAATATATACTGGTAGGCCCTCATTTTTAATTAGAAACAGTATTTGTATGAATGTAGAACTTGTTAGCAATTATCACCTCTCAAAACCCAAGCTGCCAAAACTCATTCTGTGTGACATGATAATCATTACCACATAAGACAACTGTGATAAAGGGATTACAAACACTTCAGGACTGAAAATAAGCACAGTAGAAAAAAACAAAACACTTATTATTTGAAAACATAATTTTAAAGTTAATTATATTCTTCTGCATTTTTCACCTCCAAGTATTAACAAGTTCCTGGCTTAACAGGCCAGGAATACACCCTTTTACTTTAAGAAGCAACTGGGGAAAAAAAAAGGGGGGGGGAACACATTTTTTTCTTGTTTTAGAGAGGCAAGTCGTTCTGGCTCACCCCATTTCTTCTGGCTGAAATTGTTTATTCACATTCTAAAAGGTAACTTTCTCCCAGAGACTGTGTGCAACACAAGTATTATATTCAATTACTGTCACCTTTAAAAATGCCAAAGAAAGGTGAGTTTGTTCTATTTTTGCACTAGATTTGATGCCATGAAAAGCTATGCAGAAGTAGATATCGATATTAAAAATATCATCCGAGTCCAACGACATTTCAGACATTAAAGTCTAAACACTCATGGCCAAGCAAAATACTTAGATACAGAGTCTCCATTTTCTGTATGGAAGAATTTTCATTATCTGACTAATGGTGAGTGTGGGAAGCACTGGAATATCCTGCATTAAAGAAAACTAGTATACATGGGTACAAAGAAACACTTTGCAGGGCAGAACAGCCTACCCATGATGAACCACACTTGATCCAACAGGGCTTATTAGCTCATTTGCTACCATCTCCACTGAATTCAGCTGGCTCTTCAAAGGCAAAAGCTCCCGAAAGCTTTAGCTTCCACCTATGTCTTTCCAGCTCCAGCACAACATAAACACATGGAGCACAGCTGGTCTGGGTGCTGTGGCAGAACTAATAGATTTGGCCTCCATTACATAGCCCCTCAGTGCTAGCAGCCTGCTGCTCTCCATGGGGCTTCTGCTGCACCCTTGACAGTGTGCTGCAGATGTTCCACTACTCAAAGGTCTTCTGAAAGGAAAGACAGCAGAGATCAGAGATGGGAGCTTGAGCAGACTGCTATAAGATGTGTAAAAAGAACTCTGGAAGGGTAGCAGAAGGTGGGGTATAACAATTAGGAGTTCAGAAGAACAGCAGTGGGCTGTTGAGAAATGGCAGGCTGGCACGCTGCAGTTAAGGAACCGGTGCACTGCAACAAAGATCAGGAAGGGACACCAGTAAGATAAGAACAACCAACGTGAATGTCAAGAAGGACAGTAAGAGTAAGCGATAGTCATCTTAATGAACTAATCTACTCCCTTTGCAATCACAAGATGAAAGGGAGGTGACAGGAATGTGTACCTAATGACAAAGGCTTTGCTCCTTTCAGCTGTGCCCACAGTTCAACTGATTTAAATACTATGTGAAAAATTAATAGTTTAATAGTCATTAATAGTAATTCCTGCTTTTGACTCATACTTCTGAAAAGCAGTCACCTGGTCCCCAATCCTTGTTCCACATCTTTCTCTTCTTTATTTATTACAAGTTTTGGGCCAAAAGAATTTTGGAGAACCTGCAAAAAAGCAAGTCCTCTGAAAGAACAAACCCACTTAAAAACAGACTCCTATGCCTCAATTGACTCAAAAAAAAGTTAAGTCACCAATATTTTGAACTAGAAACCTCAGCATATTATTGTCAAAATGGAATACTAAATTTTGACCTTCAATATATAGGAAATAAGATTTAATTAGTCCTGTCACACTGGCTGAAACCCCATTACTGTTTCCACCATTAAAGACTCATTTGACTCTACCTTCTTTCTAATCACGGTAAGGAAATTATCAGTCTTCCTGGCAAAAGCCACCCTTAGCCCTTCTATATAAACCTTCCACCAGTTCTGAATGGGTCCTAGTTCCTACCCCTCACTATTCTCTCAAAGGGCTACTATAAACAGACCACAATTTAAAGCAACTGTAATGGCTTCATTGATATTCAGTCACACTGGTTTATACAGGTGTACAGCATTTCTCCTGGGACCAGGATGCATGCCTCTCCTTCATCAGGCTTACCTTGTTGTGTGTAAAAGGAGAAGCTGTATACAAGGTGGGATGGATTAGTGGACGAGGCAGATGAGGGATTGTATGCAATGGTATATGTCCATGGATATGAGGATAAAGATGAAGTGCAGGATGTGCAGGTTTTTCAGGATTCATAAACTGGTGGCCAGCAGGCAGGCGTCCAGTTGCAAGAGCAGAGGCTGTTAGACCTGAGGCTTCTTGTTTGCAAACATGACATTCGCAAGCATTTGGACCTTGGTCAGCCTGTAAGAAAAAAAAATTTCCATCTACTTGACAGACAATAAAATCAGATATTTCTCACATTCTTTTTTCTTAGTAATTATGAATATTATTTCATTTTGCATACATCAATTAATACTTTCAGGGCATCCACAGATCTTTACCTTAGTCAAGAAAAGCATGCGCTAAAAATTGACAGCATTTCATATTGTACAGATTTTTAATGTTCACTGTCAGTGACAACAAGACACTGATACAGACCATCAAAAACAGACAGGAGTAGGAACCCTGACAGCATTTACTAGGCAATTAATTACCCCACTATAAAGAAATCAAAATAGATGGTTATTTTTCACAATTTTCCAAGCATATGGAAAAACAGTATGTAGAGAAAGTAGTCATAAGGGTTGATTGGCTGATAAAGTCGGATGTAGCTGTGAGCTGCATTAGGCAGAGCATGGCCAGCATGTCAAGGGAGGTGATCCTTCCCCTCTGCTCAGCATCGGTGAGAGACACCTGGAGTGCCGGGTCCAGTTCTGGGCTTTCCAGTGAGAGAGATGTGGACACGTTGGAAGTGAGTCCAGTGAATGACCACAAAGATGATTTAGGCCTTGGAGTATCTGTCCTACAAGGAGAAGCTGAAAGAGCGAGGATGTTCAGCTTCACGAGAGAAGACTCAGGAGGATCTTCTCCATGGGTGTTCCCTGACTAGGCAGGGAAGAGGAGAGTAAAGAGGACAGACTTCTCTGAGTGGTATCCCACGAAAGAGCAAGACAAAATGGCCACAGACTGAAACACAGGAAATTGCACTCAAGCTTAAAGCTTTTATTTATTTGTGAGAGTGGTTGAACCCTGGAACATGTTAACCACCGCAGTTCTGCAACCTCCATTCTTGGTGATACTCCAAATCCAACAGGACACAGCGCTGCCCAACCTGCTCTAGTCAGCAGGAGGGCTGGACAAGACTATCTGCAAATGTCCCTTCCAAACTCAACTACTCTGTGATTGTGCAAAGCAGACATTTCTTATGAAAAATTTCATAATCACATCAACCATGAGAAATCCATGCCTTATTAGAACCTTCTACTGATCTCAAGGTATCATTAACCTCTGTTGTCTCAAAAGGATTCAAGACTTTGGAAGAAAACCAGCCCAGGAAAGAGCAGCTCCATTTCCCTCTCTCAGCTCCTGCCGTGGTCATCTGACATTTCACTGGAAGATAGTTTTACCAGAAGTGATACCAGGAACACTTTCCAATGGCTATTTTTCCCAGCAATGCGGCAGTACGCATTTTTCCAAAAAGCAACATAAGTTAAATTAGCTTTCTCAAAAAGAATTGACATTTGGTATTCTTCTTAAATATACCTTCCTCTCAGAAGGAAATAGCTCTTCATTATCACTTAAAAGCATTATGGCCTTTGACACAAGGTATATTTTAACAACCAAAGATTTCATAAACCAAATACAATGAATTAATTAGGTGTACAGAAAAAAATAACTTTATAATAAAAAACATTAGTATTATTAAGAAACCAATAATAATTACTAACAAATGAAAACGGAAAAAAGATGTCCAACAGTATGGTGAGATTCAAAATCCAATTCTGACAAAGCTTTGGGTACTGAGCATGAAAAGGAATCCAAAGAAAAATAAAGATAACAAGTAAAACAGATAATAAAAAGATAACGCCAAAAAAAAATCTCAAAGGCATGACACCTGCCAGTGAAATAAAATCACTTGAACACAGCATTACAAGGTAGATATTCATCTCTGATCAGAAAATCAGGCTAAAATAGTAAGTCATTAAAAGCACCTCAATAATTCTGAGAAAATTCTTTTTCCTCAAAGAAAACAAAAAAGAGAAAGGTTAAATCCTAAATCCACCTTTTTATCTTGCATTTTAGTTGGCTTCCCTAAAGCAAGTAGACTTACATAATCTCATTGGATTTTCCATAACAAATACTGAATCCGTTCACCAGTTTCAAACTAGTTTGACAGAGGTCTCAGCCCATGTAAGTATTATGCCATTTGTCTGTCACAGACAGGAAAAAAAAAAATCTCAACATACTCACTGAAAGAAAAGTAGCTTAATAGTCTTACCACATAAGAAAGTACTTCCACAGAAAGGCCTTACACACATCCTAACTGCAAGGGAACATCTAATGGGAGTTCCCACCTGACTGTCATCCAAGCTCTCAAAGGTGCCCCTTCCAATTTGGATTCTTTTGAACAACAAGCAATAAAAGCAACTGGTACATTCTCAAAGCAGCAAGCCTGTGTTGTAGCTCCAGAGTAACTCAATTAAAAGCCACACAGTGACAAAGACAAGTCCATCAGATGCTTTGCTTCGGTGCTCAGCTGTTAAACCAAGCACCACCACCTGCTGAGAAAGATACTCCAGACATGGTTCTCTGGATGGCTTGGTGACCTTACAGTAAAGAGCTTAATAACCTTAAACTTCTTTTTTTTAAAAAAAAAAAAAAAACAAAAAAAAAAAAAACAAAAAACCCCCAACAAAGACAAAAAAAACCCAACCAACCAGCCCAAGATCCATGCCATAAGTCATGCAATGGATTTAACTACACAGGGTTTCAACAGGGAAAGTTAGTCTTCAGATATAACATTAAAAAGTGCCCGTTAACCAAGTACTCACATAATTCCCCCCCAGCCCCAATTAATTTGAAATGACTCAACACTAATATTTAACAAAGACCAAGCACAAACTTCCAAGCAGAAACACTTCTTAGTTTCAGTTTCTTATTCATACAGGCAGCAATAATTTTTTTCCCCTTTTATCTTCAACATATCTAACATATTTCAGGTTTTGACTAAAGGAAGATGTCAGCCATGACAACATACAATCAGATCAAAAATATTTTAGGTATAACACATGCCTACTGATAACTTTTAAAAGTTAAATAATTAATTGAAGATGTAAATGTTATTATCATTCAAGCAGGCACATTTCAAAAATCAATTTACTAAAAGGGTTGCTTTTAGATTACTATACCTGCTGACTGGGGTAAGAAGGTGGTGGACTATCCATTTTTGCTTCATCTTTCCTTAATGCCCTTTTTCCTAGAGATATTTCCTCCTTTTGAGTCCCCGGTGGTTCACCACTGCTCTCCCCATCTGCTTCTTCATCATCTGCTTCTGAGGAGCTGCTGCTAGTACTGCTCACCTGAGGAGACTGGACAACATTAACCCATTAACACAGGGGTGAAGGACAGACCTTTCTCCAGCGAGCACATCCAACCAGCAGAAAAATATATGAGACTGTAAATGCTGTACCTCATCTTTCAATGCCATGTTTTCACCTCCGCCATTTAGCTCACTGTGAATTCCATTCATGTTGGCTACAACCTCTGCATCATCGTAATTATTCAGTGGGTAGATATCAGCAAATTTTGCTGATAATGGTGCAACATCTTCATCATCACTACCACTGAGAGGAAGAGAGGCTTAGATAAATCAAAGTGCTCAGTAACCTCAGTTATTGTGAAAGCAGGTAGAACACCAAAATGAAATAAAGTTGAGAGCATCCCTTGTAAAAATGTTCCAATTTAAGAGTTGTTTAACTGAACTTATTTTTTCAAGCAAGTAAAACCAAGCAACCTGCCGTATAATCTTACTGAATAGAGCAGTTGCATGACTGAATGACAGACTGGATCGAAAATAAGATTCTCTGCTATTTCTATGTACAATATTTTTCCAACACTGTTTTCTGACCAAGAATCTATGGAATTAATAATGTCAGGACACAGATGTCCTTTAGATGAAAACAACCTTATGCCAATGACTTCCTTTACAAAAAGTGTGAAGTGGAAAAAAATACAATATAAAATTCATGTTTTTCCATACATCAAAAGTCAAACCAGTAACAGTAAGTACAGAAGACTGAACACTTCACAGTAACGCTTAAATTTCTCAGTAGCAATTAGTTCCTAGACAACACCACAACGACGTGCTTTTGAAAATCTGCTGTAAAATACTTAATGGAAATTCTTTCCACACAGACAGCTATTAAAAGAACATCCATGTTTAATTACCTGCTCCAGGGAAGTGTTGCAAAGATTGGTTAGTTCTTGTTTCTACAGCAATCCACAGCTCTTAAAAGAGCTCTTAAACAGTGCACTTTATCTTTTTGCATTCCATAAGATACTGTGCCAAAATTTAATTACATGATGGCACCATTAGGCATATTTCAAATGTGCAATGAGGAAATAAAAAACAGCAGATATTATGAGACACAAAATGCCCCTTCCCCAAGGAGCATCAGTATTTCCCTAAAAATAGGCTTCTTACAGTAAATAATACTTGGATTTAACTGAACTAGCTTCTGAAGACAAAAATTGAACAATTTTGGACATTTTAGCACCAAAACTAATGAGAGCTTACAGAAATTTCAAACCCCACATTTAAAAATATGTAGCTAAACATACCACCACATAATCTGTTTTCAAGCGCTCCCCAAACGGGTTCAGAAACTAAAGTCCTGTTACGGAAGATTAAACCAATGATGGTAGCAGATACAAACATAAACATTTAAAGGAAATTAAACTTATTGGAGTGATATTCATCAGAAACATCCTACACATCTGCACTGTCCTCATCCACCACACCATACTGACACAGAACACTGATGCCAATTTCCTTGACTGTACTGAAAAGAAGTATTTCATTACTGTTCCCATCAGTCCTGAAGTAAGTTTTTAAAAAAATATTCCTTTAGAATATCACAGGACAGAGAAGACTGCTCGTTAGCTGTACCCTAACCACATACAGAAACCAGCCTACCAAGCAGTTTAACCCTTCAGAATTATGGAAGGAAAAGCAGTCTACTATTAGACTCAAATGCCTCAAATCTGATGGTCATTGTGATGTGAATAAAAGAGAGAGGGTGGCAGATACTTCTGACAGGGACGATAATTTTTGATGCAAGACTTGAGTTAACAGAACTTCAAAACTCCTAAAAGCCTCCTAATTAAGGCTTTTTTGGAACTAAACTGATTCATATGAAATGACCATCCCTCAAAAAAAAGATCACCAGTTCCCTTGCTCAGTCTAAGAAAATGTGACACTATAAAATGATGTTCTACAGTAGAGTGGTGCCTGATGTCCTTGTAATCTCAAACCAAGGGAGTACATACTACACACAGCAACACTGTTAAGTCAACATCCTCAGAAATTTTTAAGAACTTCACAGGTTTGGTTTTTTTTTAATGTTTGCAGAATATACAGCAGCAGAGCTAGGGACTGCTGAATACAGTATCATTATTAAATGATTTTCTGAAGCAAAACTAGCATTACGTAATGGTAGTCTGCCAATGCAACTTACCTACTTAAATTCAATTCACTACAAAATTTTAAAACAACAACAAAAAAAGAACTCACAAAGTTGGTGCAGAACCATTATCTGCGAGGATCAGTCTGGGATGTTGCTGAATTGTAATAGGCGAGCTGGAACCTGATCCTGAACTTGCTGAAGACATACTGGGTGGGCGGATCTCAGATAGATAATCCGGAGCAGAATCAATTTGTAGTGGTAACTGGTTAATGTGGATATCATCCGTTATAGGAGAATCCATGATGCCACACGTTAAAATGTGTGAAAGGCTGCAGTCATCACAAGTACATCTGTTCAAGAATTGAGATTATAGATTTTTATTACCTTAAGTAGCATTAATTTAAAGTAACCACACTCTTTATTCCAACAATGTATTTCCTTTTTCCTCAAACAATAAATTAATAACTTATTATGATTTCATGTTTAAAAAAATCAGCTCACCTTCTTCTATAATTACAGTTGGGACAGTCAGGCATGCTCAAACGTGATGACAGCATGTGTCTCATTGTGTCTGTGAAGTTGTTCTCCCCAGCTAGTGCTTTCTTGTTATTAAGCTGAAGTAAATTATAAAGACAGTGTTTTAGTAGTGCAAGTCTTCCACTAACAAGTCAATGGCATATCAACATTAACAAATTACATAATCAAAAAGGGTTCTTTGGGCAAAATATTTTAAAAGCAGAACAATTCAGAATAATTTCATGAAAGTGGTGTTTTGATCATGAGTGAAAGAATGGAGAAGTTCAAAGCTACAAACAACAAACAGTTGGCACAAACTCTTCAAAGAAAGTATGTTTCTACTATGAAATAGTGAAGCGGTGAAGTCCATCTCCTTGACTCATTTGTATGTGCATCTTGCATGGTATTTCTGCTGATGCACTCTGAACTTGAGTAGTTCTTGTCTTGTTTCATGGTATGCACAAAAGGACACTGCTGACAAAAGGAGAGAGAATGCAAACTCACCCTTAGTTTGCAAAAAATAATTAGGACTAATTCTGTAGCCGCAACGGGGTAGATTCAAGGAATGAATTAGCTGCCCAAAACAGGACTCGACTGCATTAGTGAAAAAATACAACCCAAATAACCTCTACCTGGCAGGGGCCTAATCCTGAAAGCACCTAATTTCATTACATACCTACAAACCTTACGTTAAACAAGGATGTGCCTAAGCTTCCACTTCTATAGATGTCCAGATCTGATCCTTACCTAAGCAGCCATGCACTTACAGCTCACTTAAGCCCAATTAGGATCAAGGAAAAAGAGAATTCTTTATCAAGTCTTCTGAGGAGCCCTGTACACCAGATGTTCTAAAAACACTGTTAACACAGGCTTATGTTCCTTATAGGAAGAAGTACTTACTGATGACAGCTTTTAGACATTGCCAGTTTAAGCTTAGTTTAAGTTTATTAAAATGTACTGTCATACTCTCTCTTTCTCTGGCTCATGACTAGCATTGCTTTCTGCACAGTGGTACAGGAATGGAGAGGTTCTCCACACAGGCTTGACTCTATCCCAGTCACACTGTACTCCTATGAAAAGCATGACACATACCTGAACACAAGAGTACTGTGGCTTAAACAGCAGATAACTTTATTATAAAGGTAGTAACTTCTGCTGGCCCTTCTCTGGCTACAGCTTAAAAAAAGACCTTTTTTTTTTTAAAAAAAAAAAAAGTTCTGCTCATCCTTTTCTCCACAAAACAGAAGTAGGAGCCATCTCCAGAGTCCTAACAGACTCAATCATCTGCCCTGCTACCATGGCTCACACTCCCCAGCTCTGCACACATCAGGGAATTTGTTAAACTCTTGAACACAATATTCCCTATCACATACATCAAGGCAGCTCCACGCTCAATGTATTGGCTGTTTTGGATCCCATTCTAAGGCAAAAAAAATTCCCCTTTTACTGTATAAAAAAATTTTTATACCTGGTATTCAATCCTAAGACTATGGTGTTCATGTTTTTACCTTGTAGTAACTAAGATAACATACTATTACATACTCTTCTTGGATGTTGCTTTTCTGTATTTTAGGTGACTAAATTTCATGCCTGGCATAGTCGCAGAATTAGATCATATAGAGCTAGCACAACATACTACACTCATATGTTTCCATCTTACAAATATACATGAAGCGTTAGTATGAATTAGTATGGTATAGAAAAGAAATCCTACCTGCTCTTCAATAAAACGCCTCTGTTTAAAAAATTCCCAGTCTTCCTTTAGCATGCGTTGTTTTGTTTTCATTGCCATCTAAAACAGAATTTAAGGAAAGCTCATTGATTTAATCATAGAAAACCCACTTTGTTGTCAATTGGTCTGTCAGTTTCATTAAACCTAGCTTGTCTATAGTATTTTCAAAGTACTTACATACTTAGTCAACATTAAGTGTATTTTATTTGCTAATCATTTAATTCAAGTCACTTAAACATACTATTTATATTCATTTACACTTTCAGTCAGATTTTTCCACTGTTCTTACTTACATTGGTATTTCTTTCTATTAAATATTTTCATAGCATTTTCAATAAAATGTGATTGGCATTAAATCCTCAACATCTCAGATCCACTAAAATCCATTAAAATCTAGAGATACAGGCAAGGCCTCAACACAGGCTCAAGTGCAAACTCTGATGTACCACATGTGGAACTAGCCACCCAAAGTGTCAAAAAAATTAGAAGTAGTGACCTAGATTAACAGTATTTACCACTTCTATTCCTCAATGTATTTCATGTCCATGATTTATCTAAGGCTGGAAAAACATTTTATAATTACTCATCCTTTAATCACATCACCATAAATGCACATAGAGTTCGTAACTTCTTGTACACAAAGGATATTTTCTGATTTAGTAAATAAATTCACTCTGAACACAAAAGCTTCTGTGAATTTTGACACAGCACAACACAAGAACAAAGGTTCTCCTGTTGTACCTCACAGCATATTAAGAGCACTACTTCATCAGTGGGGAAAAACAACTATCTAGGTTATCTTTTACAGTTTTTTCATTTACCTAACTAATACCAAAAAAATCTACCACCTTACAGAATATAACAAATTGCTTCATAAAGATATGTTAGTGAGCCAAAGCCTGGCAGGTTATACAGATAACAAGTTTTTTTTATTTTCTTCAAAAGCATGCCTCCAGAAATCCATACCTGATCTTTTAAAGTCTTACTATTAACTTAAGTGTATTATTGCTATTATCATTATTTAACTTGTGAAAATGAAATGAAAAGTTTTGCCTAACGAATTTGTGAAACAATCAGCAGTATGGAATTCCAACTACTACTGTGGATTTTTATTTCCCTTGCTCCAGTGAGGTTACGTTAACACCAAAAAAATGAGTTGATCAGGTGCATGTGTGAAAAAATAGCATGCATGAAATATTCTTGAACCACTGGTAGCTTTTCTCAGACACACTAAAAGGTACCGCAGAGCCTGTGGACAAAAACATCGGAAATTTCATCCTGGCTGTACTATCAGCTTCTGAGCACCCTTGAGCAATAAACAGAGCAACACTCACTGGTTTAGGTGCCCTGCCACCAAGATGAATCCTCACCATCAAAGACAGGCACCTAAATTCGCTATACATGATAAGAGAAGACTTCAGTGCCAAAGAGTTACATTTAAAACAATCAGTGCATTAACTGGGAGCTATCTACTCAAGCCTGACAAGAATCTGCCAAAGAAAACAGCATGGTTTTAGTCTTGGTGCTCTTGAGTATTAATGGGAAGAGGGGCTGAAGCTCAAGCTTTCCTACTTCCAACTTTGCAGCCTTTCCAATACCCATGTCTGCAAGTATCTTAAGTTATTAATTCCATAAATAATAGGAAATCAGTTCTCTCCCCTCTTTCTTTTCCCCAAGCAATATTTATTTCAGCAGAGCAAAGCAGCTGCAATACAAACCACACAATCCATGCCCAAGAATTCTGATACGGACAGTGAGGTAAATACAAATGCCATCAGAAGGAAAAATTTACCCTTCAGTCTTGCACATCTGCAATGAATATGCTACCACTGCTGCCCAATGAAGAAGAGAGGTCCACTACCACCCTCTTCCCTCCTCCCTGTTCATTTGAAACTAAAGAGTGTTTGAGATCCATCAGACAAGACATGGTAAACTAAGACAGGCAGATGAACAAGTATTTTTCCATTCTGAAATAGATTCAATCATGGAACAAAGCTAGCACTTTGGTCAGAACTGACAAAAACCACTGCATCACCTGTGAGAACTCTGATCCTTCATACGTACATCACAGGATGCTTGTTGCTTCCAAATTTAAACTCTGTATCAAATGTGAATAACATATCTGAGCATCCCAAATTCTACCTGTGAATCTAGTCTATATTCCTAGCCTGTTTCACTAGTAATAATAAAAATAATTCTTCTTATCACAAACTCTCAGCACTAAAAAACAGTGAGTGTTTCAATTATTTACAGCCACCTTATAAAGACAAAAACCAACTATGTCCATATAATACTATTTTTTTCTATTAAGTTGACCAGGACTGTTAAAAACAAATAAAATCACATATAAATATGAAGAGACAAGCGATAAACTCTCCTTGGGCTTTTGCGGAGCTGGGCAAAGGGATTCCTGTATACCTTTCTTCTGTGGAAGCCAGCAATTAAAAAAAAAAAAAGGAAATACTTCACAGAAAGTACTGATAACTATCTAGCTATTGCTTATAGAAATGATCCAGATGTATTTAGGTCCTCCTGAGTTAAATGTAGTCTAAATTTGTTAAGAAAAACAGGATCTGGAGGCACAGGCTGCACAGACTTGAACTCTCCTATATTCCAGATATGCTAAACACCTTCATCAGATTTTAACATGATGAATACAGGTGCTGATACAAATTAATCCTTATTCTACACGTTATTACAGCATACACACATGGTATGGCAGTGTGTTAAGTCACATGTCTGTTTACAACACAGCTATCTTACACTGTCTTAAAAAAACCCAAAAACAGTATTTATATTGCTTGCAAAAACTATTCACTTGTTTTCCCCAAGAGCAAGTAACATAACATACCACAGTGGAGGGTCCATTAATTACCTCTGCTAATGCCCTGTCTAAAATTTTGGGTGTAGTTCCACAGTACACAAACGAAAACCATTCTCACGCTTTCCTCTGTAATGGTCTGCATTCTAACCCTTGATATACCAGCAATAAAACCTCGCAATTTTGTTAAGCTAAGAAGCAGCAAGTAATGAACATACATTCACTGTTAAGATCCACAGTTTCCATAGTAGCCAGGTTTTCTGATTTCTATGTTGTTGACAAAAATACCACTGCAAATTCAGGTAAAATGGTCACAGGGAATTATGCATTTTTGGTCAAGAGAGTATAACCATAGGTTATCAACAACATGGGGTTTAAGGCCCAAGGATGGCTTAAGTTCTAGAATTGTTTCCCTACCTATCCCCCTTCCAGATTTTTTTGGTCATTAGGAAATAAGAAGTCATCATATTAAGTCTCTCCAAATGGGAGAAGGGTTTGTGTTTGCATCAGGACACAGGCTTCACTGAGCAGATTAAAAAAAATGCTCTAACACAGTACTTGTGGCAGTTGCATGGTCCCTTAGAGAGAAATTCACGAAAATCAGTTATGAGTTGATTTTGAAGTAGTGCAGATCAACCAGTCAGAAGCCTGATATGAATGCAGCTCTACAGAAATTGTGTCTTTTGGAAAAATAAGTGAACGATGAGACGTGAATGGGCATCCTTTCTTACTGGAGAGGCAGTATCAGACAGCCATGACACCTTGACAACCATCGGGAAAATGACTTGTAGCAGCACAAAATTTGAGACAATGAAATTTTACCAAGTTGTAATCAAATATTTAGGTGCACAAAAGCAGCCAGACCAAGAGAAAGCCTTGGAACTGAGAGCTCACAGATGCAGACCCCAAATATAGAACAATCTCTAAAAATAAAATTAGTTATGTCCTGTCTCCATCATGAAGGTACTTGAATTAATTTTAAAAGTTCACCTAACATCTACATTACAAGGAACAGCTTCTGAAGGTCATTTACAGTGTACTATAAGACTTTAAAATATGTTTGTCATCTATAGGAGTAACACAGCATTACTAAATCTCAAATTGGATTTCCATATTCCTAGTGCTCATAAAACTTCAAAATACAAGAAGAGTTATACCAAATTCAGTATCTTCAGTTATTTCAAGAAATATTCTTTCTTCTAGTATACTTAAGATTGAACTAAACAGTATTCAAAGCCTTATCCTGAGGCATTTAAAAAAAAAAAATGAAGTTCTTTCAACATGACACAAAAAGCACATGAGCAATTTTGGAAGAGTATGAAAAACCATTTGCAAAATAAACAGATATTTTTCCAAAAATTAAGCTCCTGACAATGTAGGAGTCAGCACAAACGTGATTGTTTTCTGAAACGTAGCACCAACTCAGAAGAATCAGCTATCAGAACATATACTTAATTAAAAAAGGATAACTTCAGAGGTCTCAAATATTTATATAGTGAGACTCTGGAGTTCTGATTTTGACAGCTGTAAAAAGGTCACTATCACACTATGGAACATGCACTGGTTTTTAAAAGCTATCTTGTCCTCTGAATTTCATTTAGTGCAATTATTATTTTGGAAGCTTAGGGGCTTTCATTGGGTTGTTGGTGTTTTTTTTCTTCCCAGTGACATCTACAAAAGAAAGTTTCAGATTACTGTGCTATGGGTAATTTACAGCCTATGGTCATTAAAAAATGTTCAAAGACCATCTCTAAACAATGGCACAATCTGCTTCAACAATTTGAAGATGTTTTGTTACCATCACTGTTACATATTGGTATGTTAGCATTCCTTTCTATTCTGAAAGACTAACACCAATGAAAAAAGTTACATTTTGTTGTTTTAAAGCTCTGGATTAAAAAAAAAAATTTAAAAATCAAGGAAACTCTTCACTGGAGGCACAGCCTTGTGTGGACTGCTTCCCTACATAATCAATCTTGAGACTGTTTACATGATTCTTACCTGTTCATCAACATAATCATCTATTCTCTTCTGGCATTCAAGCCATGCTTCAGCAACTTGACCCATTTCCTGTTCCAGCTGATGATACCTTTGTAGCAAGGTACTATACATATCTTCACTACAGGAATCGTGTGTTGTTCCAAGCCTAAAAGTTCAAACAGGACTTGTTATGGAAGAGACATTTCACCAAAAAAAAAAAAAAAAAAAAAAAAAAAAAAAAAAAAAAAATCACACTTCTAAACCAAAAAAAGTCTAGTTAAAGAGCAGTTATTGATACACCTAGCTGCTTGTATTCCAAAATTGAGTATTTTTAGTCATTTTTCAAAAAAATATCCAACAACTGCTTGTTCCAATGTTCTGTAACCAACAATAGCAAGAATGTGGGAAGTGCAACATTTCTAGAGCCTCTTTCCCATGAGCAACCAGATGTCAAACCTACTGAGCCGTATTTATTCCAATTTGGTGCTTGATATATTTATCCTTCCAAATTCTGGGGGCTAAATATACATGCCGACTATTAACTGCAGAGCTATATAGTAAAAATAAAGCCAGAAGCTTGTTAATCAGAACTCTCATGATCAATGCTAAAAAGGTTACTAGACGAGTTGGAGTTTCAGCCAGGAGAAGTGCTGTAGAATGAGGCAAGTGAGACAGTAGGTAACTGCATGCAACCAAATTATCACTTGAGCAGCATCAAGTTCAAAACACGGTTATGCCATTTAGTGATGACTGTCTCTGTAGGGAGCCCCAGGAATAGGAGACAGATTTACCTTCCTTTCTACTGCTACATTCTTGTACAGCAAATTCCTTTTAAAAGTGATTAGAGTGCATCAGCACAATGATTAAGTAAGCAAGCAATCTCATGAAATCTTAACTTTAGAAATAAATAAAAAGACAAAAATCTTATTTGATAATCTGTTTTTAAAGCACATCGAATTATAATGACCTGTAAATTGACACAAATAAACTGCAGCTTTTCAACATTTCCCCTACTCGGTAATTAAGAGAAAACTGGTTGGTAGTTAATTAGGCATAGAGGTTGTGTGATGAGTCAAAGCCAGTACCAAGAAACAGAATTCAAGCATCTCAAAACTTGACATTTAAGCCCAGTTCCAGCATTCTAAGGAAATTTGTTATAGATTTCCACTCCAATGGGATGCTAACCCAACCTAAAAAACTACACAGTCCTGCCTATCATCTGGCAAAGAAATGAACCCTTAATTTTAACATGGCAACTAAATACAATGAAGAGCTGAGCAAACAGACAACTCAGTAAGTTACAGATGATGTTAGCATCACTTAGCCAACAAATTCAAGCTAGTAGTACTAATCTTTCAAACACTGGTTGTACACAAAATCTTTTAAAAATATGATCTCAAGTTAGAAGAAAAAGAACTTGGATTTTTAAAAATTTAGACTATCAATGCAACAGCCTTTACATTTTCCATTTTTATTGTGATACTTTAGTAAAGGCTAACATGCTCCTAGTAAATGTACTTTCACCCCCAAGGCAAGTTTAAAGCAACAGTCTAGGTAATTTTTCAGTCCCGTAAACACAGGTGGAATATATCCCTGGACTGCAGTAAAAAATGGTAATAAAAAGCATCACACATGCACAAAACTTAAGAAGAATTGCTTACTTTACAGTAACCAAATCTTCCACAGCATACTTGTTGACATTAGATCCTACTGTATGCCTGCGTATCTTGATTAGGAACCCAGAATTTTTGGCCAACAGCATTTAATTGAAGCTGCGCATATACCCTGAACACTGTCCCATCCCACAGAGGGAAAGCAGAAGCCAGAAAAGCCCTGGTATCAGTCAGTTACTTCATTACCAATCCCCAATAAAGCAGTTTGCTGAATGCAGGAGGTGAGTGTGCCAATGGTTGCATGTAATCAAAAGCATCTTAACGCAAAAAAAGATACTTAACCTCTAAGAAACTTTTCATATAGACACCTTCATTGGGAAAGACTAGTCTCTCACCTACGAAATGTAATACTGGTTATGAACATATGGCCTTATGAAATGCTGTGCCTGATCTAGAAGCCTGGCTGACTAATTAACTCTTGACAAGCACATGGACAGCTCTCACAGCTGGTCTGCAGACTGTACAACTGAGTGTGCCTCCTAAACAAACCAGAGGTGTTGACTATGTAGCAGAACAAGATAAAACACATTGAGACCCTGGTGGTTTACCCTGAGTAGATGACCAGTCCTGTGAAATACTGACACAGCTGATCTCCTATTAGCTAGTAACCTCCACCCCCACAAGACTGTTATGTTTAAACCTCCCTAAGTGAGCATCTTTTCTAGTCTGACATCTGATAAGCATCCTTGGAACTAATCACAGCACACCAACTATATTTTGAAAAACCCACAGATATACCAAATATTTTGTGATTTCAATAAGGGATCAGAGAAAGGGTAAACACCTAAAATGCAAGTGAAGCTAAGATGCCAAAACACCATTTCACATTTCTTCCAGAAGAGAAAACAGTGAGACTAATGCTCTTTTGTAAAGAAAATCTGGCAATACCTTCTCTACTGCATGCAAATGATTCTCTACTGACCAAATGATCAGGGGATTAAGCTGATCCCTGCATCTCCATGTGAGGCCTCTCTGATGGAACATTCCTCCATCAATTCCCAATGGAAGGCACATTACCCTCTAGAAAAATTTATTGGTGAAGGTTAACTAATTCTCTTACTTCAAGAGCAAGAGAATTCAGCAGTAAAATCTTGGGAGTCCAAGAAAACAGGAGTAATCTATGTTCACCAGAGAAAAACAAGACACATACCATATAAACTAAAAACCATGGAACAGGAAGCTCATGCTGAACCTCTCCTTCCAAAAGGCTCATGTGAATCAATCCCGGCAAAATGACAGCTTACGTGAAACTAAAGCTTTCCAGCACATCTATGTTCGCTAGATAAGAAATTCCTGCAGGAAGAGATTCTGACTTCATCATATCCAAGCCTTGAAGGTAGCTGTCACTACTGTGAAGTTCTGAAGAGAAACACCTTCTGTTGCTCAGACTTTAACTGCAGTAGCACTTGAGAACAACAGGTAAATGAAAGCAATCCAATGCTTTTGTCAAATAATGGCCATAAGCTTCACTAAAACAATTCTCATGTCTGCAGATGAAGACAATATAAGCAGTCTCGATACAGGCAGACTTGCTGGACTAAGAGATACAGAGAAGCCTTGTCAGAAAGCATGGAGATGACTGAGGAATAGTGTCAGTGACAGTGGTACTGGGAAGTCAAACACAGATTGTTGGGAAAATATGCACTTGAACAACATGCTATTGAATATAACAACAGAATTACCTGTCTAGAAACAAACAAAAAAAAAAAGGCTTTCAGTATCAACCCAGTTTCAAGTAAACCAATTAGACACGTTATTCTGAGGGACCTTAGGATTCCTGCTAAGCCTGGTGACAAGCTTTCTTACCTTTTCTTGCTTTCCTTCCTAGTACCTACTAGCGAAAGGAGAACCAATCAGAAATTTATTTATCCACTGTGAGCAGCATCTCTTATGACAGACTTAATCAAACTGCTCTTGTAGCATGGAAAAGCACCCAAGACAATACCTTTAATACACATGTACACAAAGCATAAATGTCTCCTCACCAGAAACGAGACTGAGTGGTCAACACAAACCATCCATGACTGTGTTTCAAAAACATTCGTATATGTTAGGATAAAGAATAAGGTTTCTACAAATTAATACCTCTTCCCTAAAAAACCCAAACACTTTGCATGCACACAAATTATAAGGAGAGCAACCTTACTAAAAAAATATACATTTTAAAGCCCAAGGAAAAGCAACATGCTATCAGACCTACAAGCATATAGCAAGGGATTTTGTTTCCTTTGCTTTCTCCAATGAAAAGATTGCTTAAACCTCCAAAGTAAGTTATTTGTGCACTGTGGGAAGCATGAAGGTGTTGAGGCTTTAATCTGCTTGCAGCACTGTAAAGACAGTAGCAATGCCTGATGACAAGAGAACACTGTACTGTTCAGTCATACCATCAGCATTTTCATAGGATGCTGTCATTTTACTAGGTAACCTACAAATAAGCAGGTAAGGGTAGTAATTCTTCTTACAAGCAAGTTATGACAGCTGCCTACACAATCAAGAATACCATTTTCAAGACAGATAAACAAGGTTTTTTACCTATTAAATTGCAGAAGCAGCAAAATTTTTTTTTTTAAAGCTGTGGTTGCAAACATGGGGTTTGATTTCTCCTTTAAATTACAAAAGAAAACTTAAAACTCTACCTTAGCTGTGACACCAGAGTTGGCAAGCTATTCTGCAGGAGTGGCTCAGAAAATACCAGGTTTTCAAACAGATGCTTATTGTGCAATTCCCACGTCACCTGAAATTTCTTCAAATGTTCATTTTCCTGTAATGAAAAACCATCCAAAAATAAGCCAGGGTTAGAAAATACAAAAAAAAATTCTGTCCACAGCAAGAATTAAAAAAAAAAAAATAAATCTAGTTTCCAACCTACAGGCTGGATTATCCAGCTCAGATCTTACCCAGTTTTAAGACCCAGAAACTCAGAATTTAAGTAATTCTTTAATGACTTAAATAACCATAGCATCTTTCCTTGTTTTCCTAAATTGTCATGGATTAGAAAAAAAGAAAAATTAAGACTATGTTGTTGAAAGCTTCCATTCATTTCTGCACTGAAACATGTATTTTATGATCTGAACCAGTTACTCTCAGGTTTTCTTGTCAAACAATTGTTTCCGATTATGTTTTCAGTTCTTTGAACTTACCTAGTCACAGACACATATATGATGGCAAGCTACAGTCTTTATTCAAAACTGACATAAATCAAGTAAACAGTTCTCTCCAAGTAATCTTCAAAAATGAAGTTTTCTAAATAGACAAAAGACCAACAGCTTACTTCTCTACTACACAGAATGTTTTTCTATTTGAGGTTATCTAACACATAATTGTATATCATCTCAAGGCCTAAAAGTTAAATCTATTATTATCAAAACATAAGAATCAAAGGTAGGTATAATATGTTTTCAAGTCAGTAAGTTTTCCCACATATAGCAAGCAGTACACAGGTTTTCTATACCAGGATGCGCCCACACACAAAAATTAAATGCAAGTATTCTGGCTATCAGATCAGCAAGTGAGCACTATGCACTGTAACCTCAAGTATCTAGAAATATCAGAACACTCTGGAGTTCCAAAGTTTTGTTAAGCATAGTGCGTTAAAAACCAAATAAATATTTATGTCAGACCTGAACACAATACTATCAGTATTCAAAAAAAGAATCAAGTTTGGAGTTTTATTACTATTTAGGAAGGGTGGGTAGGTTTTTTTGAGTTGCACAAGACACACATATCCTTTCACTTTGATCATTAAGTCTTCAAAATATTTAAAATTTCAATCAATTGCTAATAATTTCTCAAGGGACAACACTGAGAAAGGTCGATTTCCTAAGGAATTTCCATACTAGGCTGTGAACAAAGCAGTCAACACTTATCTACAAAATCTTGCATATCAGATTGCACAGATAACAATATTTTTCAAAGAAATACCAGGTAAATTTTCCCTTCTAGTCTGCTATCCTGTGTACTTGAGGGCTCTTCTGTACTGACCCTGGTGGGGCACAAGGTTTTGGGAGTTCCTGCTCTAGTTAGCTAGATTTGTTTGAAAGGAATGACAACTGTTCAAAATTTCATTGAGAAATTAGTTCCTCACAGGTGGGGAGTCAAGCCATTTGTACAGCCTTTGTACAGCATGCTACATGCTAAGGTTTTACCCTTAAAAGGAAGGTCACACTAAGTTTAGAGGTCTTGACTGCCTTTTATGTATTTCAGCTGAAAAGATTCCTTCTTCCATCGTGCACTGGTATCTTGAGAGAAAACAACCATGCACACTGAAAAGGCTAGTGACCCTGCTACCTGTAGTGAAAGCTGTGACATACTACTTCATTTAATAAAAAGGTTATTTAATAAATCTAAGAAATGTATGACAAGAGAGTATCCTACACTCTCACATTTCAGTTTCTGAATGTCACAGCTCAGTAGAAAGAAGTTTTCAGTACTCACTAGACTGCAGAATTAAAAGGAGGAGAAAAGCCTGGGGTATTTTGTGTTTTCTTATGCTTTGGTTTTTTAAAGGAGATTAGGAATTTTATTTTACTTTGAGTTTTGTCAGAAAAGGCATAGATTAGGGAGTTCAAGCATTTCCTGTCTCTTCATGGCCACTATCTCAATCTCTCACACCTGCTAAGTTTCCATGATTACTAGACCACAACAATAACCACAGGGGAAAAAAGTATTTTAAAATTATTTTCTGATAGGCTATGTAATTCTGGAATTAATGGATTTATTATTGGCACATCTACTTTGAGAAAGTTAACATTTGTACTGTGATCCACCCACTTTTCAGCTGAACTGATTTCTAAGTTCCAGAGCAAATCAACATGAAGAGCAATCTCCTCTCCAGCACCTTGTTAGAGACTTGATGACTATTAAAAGCAGCCAATAAACTGGCGATAGCAATGATCTCACATCTGTATCTAAGTGATAAAGCCAGGGAAGACAGTACAGGCAACAGCAAACACAGAGCACTGACAACAGGAAAAAAAAAGTATCAGATATGCTCAAATTTCTTAACAGAAACATCTTCCTGCTTTGCCAATTCAATTTTACTACTAGCCCTACCTCAGTAATGACACACTGCTTCCCCTCCATTTTATATCCTTCTCACCTGTGGCCATCATAATCCCATTACTGCCTGTTCTTTTCCTCTCTTTATATACCTAGAGAGACATTTTCATCTAATTGGCAATAAAACCGAAATTTTCCAGTCTACCCACTTATTTTTTCCTGCTTGCACAAAGTTTACAGAAGAAAAGGGATGTACACGACAAGGACATTAAAGGATGTACCGGAAAGGATTATTAACAAAACAGGATTAATAACCTTCTCAGCCCTCAAGCAAACAGAATTACCGAATTTTTTTACTACATTACTCACTCCTGATAGACAGTTACTCAAGAAGAGATTTCTAAGGCTATTGATTATTTTCTACCTGACAATATAATCCCAAATCTAACATCACAATCAGTTGACAAAAAAAGCATGTAAGAAAGAACAGGAACTTGGGAAATAATAAATAACATAGCAGATTAATTCTGAGGCAAGAGATCACATTTTCAAGCAGCCGTTCTTGCTTATAAGTGAAAAGCAAAATTGAACATTGAAACAATCTAAGTTAGTGCTGCACATAAAAGTTTGTGTCCTTTAAACATGGTTGTCAAGAGACCACTAAAGATTAAAAGAAGTGGTTCATGCATTTTCAAAAGAATTATCTAAAATTTTGTAGATCTGCCCAGAGATTAGTTTCAGAATAAGTGGCAAAACAGCATCCCACCTTTTTCTTTATAATCAAAAGGTAATTTCATCAATTCACTGTAAGAGATGCCTGATATACATTTCTAAAGAATTAAATTTGCATTGTCAGAATATCCCCATCTCCAAGCACACACACAATAAACCCCTCACATTTTACAAACCACAGAAGACACCTGGAAGAGCCCAGAACAGTTCTGCGAGCATTACACCTAGAAAGTAGAAGCCTATAGGTTGTTTTTTCAGTCTTACCAGAGTAACTAGAAAGGCGCTGATTGTACACGCTGCCTGACAGAGTGCACTGTATTCTTCAAGTAGGAGTGAGATGAACTGATGTGCCTGTGGTGGCCCTTGTATTGCTAATGTTGATGCAACTTTAGATCCCAGTGACAAGTGTCTGAGCAGACGAACCTTCATTTCAAGCACATACTCTCTAGCTTGCTGTTCCAACCGTTGGTAAAGCTGATATGGATCTCTTTCACAAAGCCTGTATTTTTTGAATATTTATGTTCAAAAAAAAAAAAAAAGGCATGTAATCAGCAATTTTACTTTCCTAAAAGTATTTACCAGTTACCATCATCATCATCATCAAAAGATAACAATGGCTAGGGTTTACAGAACTACCTTACATCTCAGAGAACAGTCCAGATCCCTACTTTTACACTGTGGAATAGAAATCTTAAGTAGCTTTAGGATGAGGATGCTTGCACATCTGAGGAACAAATTAATTTAGGACCTCAGTATTTCACTTCAACTTGGGAGCTCTAAAATTTTTACTCAATTTGCATACAACCCTACAAACACCTAGACTCTTCAGACAAGCTTCTTTACAACTTCTCCAGGTTCTTATATAAAGCCCTGATAAGTGTCCCAGTTGCAACAGCCAGACCTAGGCCTAGGCCTGGTTAATGTCCTGTAGAAAGATATTTACTTCATGCCACTGAAGGAGCTAGACCTGTAAGGCAGCCACAACACGCCTAAATACATACTAACCACACCAGACTTGATAACTGCTTTGGGGGACCGTTACCGTTCTGCTGTTGAGCTGAACTGAAAGAAGACATTTCATACAATTACCAAGCTTTTAAGACACTCAGTCAGAAAACCCCTTCTGATCTTTGCTGAGAGTTTCTTACCCCAAGTACATGGGGTTCTGTACAAGAACATTTTTTGCGCCTTTTATTAAAGTTGTGCCACTACACAGCAGAGGTGTGGGATTCACAAGGCCACAAAGAATGTTCTTCAAGGAACATGAGTTGAGACACTCTGCTACGGTAGTACCTAAGCTGCAATCATTACAAATGAATGGTGGTGGGGTTTTTGGATTTTTTTTTTTGTTTGGTTGATTGGCTTTGTTTGTTTGTGGGTTTTGGTGGTAGGGTTTGGTTGTTGGTTTTTTTTTTAAATCTAGAATAAGGACCAAACTGGGGGCTCATTTGTCCCAGGGAAGCACATTAACATTGAAGCTCCAGAACCATATTGCCCTCCACGCACCCTGTTCAGCCGCTCAATATCTGCAAGACTTGTCACTGTAAGACACAGCTTCAAAGAGGGTCAGGGCTTCCTGCTAAGGCCAGCATACAGCTGGCTAGGCTGATACTCCCCTGGAAGCGAGACATGGGTTTGAACCACCTCACACAGAAGAAAACTGAACACAAGGACTGCTTTGAAGCACTTTTGAGTGAAATCATATTATTTAAAGTCCTGTGCATGGAATTTAAGCACTTGCCTCAGTCTTTTTACAGAGCAGGGAGGTGGGGAAGAAGAAAGGGATCAGGTAAGTACTTAAGAGTTCGATGAATAGAAGTCTGCTGTTATCTAGTCCTGGCTCTTCCCTCATCTCTCACAAAATAGAGAACTATATTGCCATAAAGTGCTCCAATGTACAACAGGGAGAGTACTGGGAACCACTACTTATATGCAAGTAAGAAGATCAGACAGTCTGTTTCTCAATAGCTGTGTCTAACAGAGCTGAGCATGGAATTAGGAATTTCTGCCTTTTAAATATAGATTTCCTTGGCCACAGCACGATCTTTAGCATGCTACCTCCATGGTTTGGTTTGGGGTCTTTTGTTTTGGGTTTTTTGCTTTTGTTTTGATTGGTTGGTTTTGTTTGTTTATTTTTACACTTTCAATACATACACTGACTAGCTTTGTTAAAAAATTTTGCTTGACATAAGCACCACTGACTGGACACACTGGTGTGTGCTCAAACACAGTATCCTAATTTTATTTCATACTTTGAAGACGATAAGGAACTTGAGTGAAAAAAAAAATATTGACGTTTAAGATTCCCTTCTTTGAGATCCTGTTTCTGCTTTTGTATTTTAATAATCTCTCTCAAAAGCGAAAAACAGTTCTAGAGAAATCAAAGCTCCTAAGTACATAAGATACACATTATGTGTTGCAATTTCCAAAATTCTTCCATTAAAGAGAAACTGCACAAAAATCAACAAGCATTTCATCTGTGATTCAGTTTTAATTACCTACACACTACGCAACTTTCAAGCATCTTTGATTTCAAGAACCTACACTACATGTTTTGATCACTTAAACAAATGAAGTGTGACTAACAGGGAGGCAGACTATATTACTCTACATGTACACAACTCATGCTCAAAACCACTCAGTTTTCATGTAACAGAAGTGCAATAAGTTTATTTAACTACCTATTAATGCTGACTCAGGAGTATAGTCACACAAAGAGCAATGCCAGATGACTATAATCTTTCTAAACTTTCTTTACCTCACCAGAATTTACCTTCAACTAAAAATTCCACATAAGAACTACAGTCTGTCAGGCTAGTCAGACCTTAGTATACTAAGTACATACACAGCCAAGGAGAGCAACTATTCTCTGACCACACATTTGGTTAGATAGAAACTGAAATGGACCTCCTGGAGCACTGTAAGGACAGCCACAATATTCTCAAAAGGAAAAAACCCCACAACTGAGGATCTCATTAAGCACATCTTCAACTTCACACCTAGAAAAGCTATGATTTCAACTTCTGAAATGAGAAAGTTCTCCAAAGCCACCTCATCTAGTGATCAACGGCCAACATTACCTTTTTTTAAAGTCTCTTCTAGCTGCTACAACTACAGTAAAGTGCAAGCACTATTTTACGCAGGTTAGTTCAACAAGGTAAGATTTTAAGGTGGAACAATTCAAACTAAACAGTGTTTTATTAATAACAATAATCTCAAGGTCTTTCGAAGAATAAGTTTTTGGGACTCTTCCATAATTATACATTAATATTCCTACTGCAAGCAGAATTTAATAGCTTCCCATGCATCCCATCTAGCATTTAAAAATCTTGCATGAAATAGAATCGACTATTCTGACTTTTCATTCTAGTGGAGAGGCAATAATTCCAAGCAACCAGACTTATGGACGGTAAATAACGTTCTGCTAAAAAGCAATACTCTGAACTACTTACAAACTAATTTTAAAAATCCTCTTAGCAATTAACAGATATTTTCCAAAGTGTATACCTATCCACCAGCTCTTTCATTCCTTCTTTATCTGGTACCAAAGATTGGTCTTGGTCATCTGCCAAAGGGGTCCCTGCTTGGCGATATATACACCGAACCATGTATCTTACTTCTGACCAGTAATTTTGAAGCTGCTGAGGTTCACGTTCAGGCTCTGCTGAATTTTCTCTGCAAATAATGACAAAAATAATTACTCTCTATTTCTGCATTGCATAGGTGTATTGAGTCCTACTGCTCTGAAGATGCTCTTCAGGAAAAGCAACACACATCTGAAAATGCACAAAATAAAGTACATATCTAAAATCAAGTATAAAATTGGATAGAAGCTGCTATCCATAAGTTACTGTCATTGTTGAATAGCCTGTTTGAAGAGTTTAAGCATACACCAACAAATAAGCTACAGCACTGCCGACAGTCCAACTACAGGCACCACACTACTGAGTTTGAACTCAGTTCTTACCTGCGCTCGTTACAGGCCTCACAGTTGCACGCTATGTCTGAAGGAGAGGAATTGCTAAGATCTGCAGCAGGCACCGTCTGTGCACCAACAGTTATTCTTCCTCCTGCTGTGATCCACTGTTTCCAAGAGGCATGTGCAAAAGGAAATCTTGGCTCTGAAAGGAAAACACACAGGTAGCCTTCAGTTTGTACAGTACAAGTCTGAAATTTTAACGGGTAGGCAAATACTACTGTGGCAGTCCTTAGTACTGAATGTATTTTTGGAGGACACTCAACCAGGCACAAAGAATTCACCTTCAAAAAGCCTAATAAACACAAGAGATAGAGAAAAGCAATGATATAAATTTAGTTTCATTTCTAATAACCGAAGTACGTTGGTTATAGTTATCACCTTTACATACTCCAGCATAAACAATGAACTAAGCTAAAAGAAGGCATGTATCATTCATTAATGATTAATCATGAACTAGTAATATCTCTTTAGTCTCTATGACAATATGTTTGACTTTTGTAGTTCAACAATTTCTTCGAGCAAAAAGCGTAGAATCTCCTTGTTTATAACAGCTAGATATACTACTTCACAGTAATGGATGTCAGAAAGCTGTTGTCATGGGGAATGGATGCCACCTCCTGTGTACAGTGCTGCTCAGTACCAGCAGATGATACAAACATCTCTCCCAAAGTTGCTGGAATTTTTATCTCCAGTTTCTCTCCCTCCTCTGTGCTCCAGCCCCAGTACATACCATGCTTCCCTCCTGCACCCTCCCCAGGCTGCCAACAGCTTTCTGTGGCATCAGGCAGAGTCCTGTCCTACATTAGAAGCATGATTGAAGGAGGTTTTTTTTGTGCCTCACCCTAGATCCTGGAGCAGGATGCAGACACAGGTCAAAACAAATCTGCATGCACTTGCTGCCAACAACAAGACCAGGTACTGGGGATGGTGCTGAGGCAACCAAGCGGAGCTCGGTTTGAGCAACAACCACCTGAACACAGGACCACCACTTATACTCTGCCTTGCAGTAACTGGTAACAATTTTTATTTTTTTTAGCTCATTTGCTTTTTCTCCTAGCTGGTTTCTCTAATTTGACTAGCCACCTAATCCACTTACTTACATTTTTAAGTCAAGCTTCCCAGCTTGGAAATACTTTTGCTCTTTGTAAAAATTCCTCTTAAAATAAGAAAACAGTTGCCAAATTATAAAAATACTGACAATTTCTATTTTATCTGGAGTATCTGTAACTTTAGAAAACATTTAGGAAGCAAATCTTGCCTCCCTTGCACTTGTAGGACACTTATTTTCTTTACTAGCTCATTAAACAGAGCTTAAATGTCCAAAATTTTTACTCAACTGAACAATCACGTGTTTCAGTCTTGCTGTGCTTTGAACTCTCTACGATGTGTTTACCATCAGGCCTACCAGTATAATTCCCTTAGATATAATCTCTTTTAATTAATTTTAGTAACCCTTGTTAATAGCAAGAGTATCAGTAAACACTTGTTGTATACAAGCAACACAAGCAGCTTCCAGTATCTGAAGTGAGCCTACAAGAAAGTTGTAGCCTAACTTTTTACAAGGGCATAGAGTAATAGGACAAAGGGTAGTGGCTCTAAATTGAAAGAGGGTAGATTTAGATCAGATATCGGGAAGAAATTTTTCACTGTGAGGGTGGTGAGGCACTGGCACAGGTTGCCCAGAGAAGCTGTGGATGCCCCATCCCTGGAGGTGTTCAAGGCCAGGCTGGATGAGGCTTTGAGCAACCTGGGCTAGTGGAGGGTGTCCCTGCCCATGGCAGGGGGGCTGGAACTCAGCGATCTTGAAGGTCCCTTCCAAGCCAAACTGTTCTATGACTTTATAATATATTCTTAAATTTTCCTTACAAAAAACTAACTATACTAACTGTGCTTTCAACATGAGTTTAACAACATATGCTATACAAAGTCCATCTTTCTTCACACCAATTTGTTTACTGAAATAAAAATCTGTATGTGCCTATGGGCATGTGTACAGCCTGTTAGCTCTCTACGAAGAGATGTCAGCTGCAATCTATAATGCTTCCAGTTATCAGAAGCATGTGGCTTCCTGGATCAGTTGTGAAGATTTGGTTCTGCTATAGCACCATAGTTTACTTCTAATGGGGTTTTGCTGGACCTGTCAATGAACTTTTTGTATCTTTCTCCTACACCAAGCACAGCTCTTAATTGAGGCTGAATTCTCATTTCAAATTATATTTTAACATTTAATTTAGAAAATTATCACAACTTGAAATGTTAGCACTGTATATTAAATCAGTGTTTGCAGTGCTACAACAAGGAATAAGAAATTGTTTATGCATATTATGCAAAGTTCATTCTGCTTCTTTATTGAAAAAATACAGGAAAGAAAAGACAACAAAACTCAGAGACATGCAGGAAGGTGGCAGTGCAAGGGTAGTGACTCAAGAACACTACTAAAAGAACAAAGAAAATTCAGATAGTTTACCTCACAAAGGGAAAAAGTAGAGGTGAGCAGACAGAGAATAGGAAAAAAGTGTAATGATTAAAGTTGCATTGTTAAGAGAAGAAGAAACAACTTAGTTAAAGGGGAAGCACAAAGTAAGAGATTCAATAAACTGACAAGGGCAGAAAACCAGCAAGAAACAAATCCAAGCCTTGCTCTACTCAAAAATCCAAAACTCAGAATGATAACTCCTCATTTTGAAACCATTTGCCTGTTCAGTTTAGCTCCTGGGGAAAATAACTCAAAACCTCCTAAAATACTTTCTAAGCATTTACAGTTCCAGTGGTTCCAAAGCACAAAGTAGCATTCAGCCCGTAACAACATATCTTCTTGGTCTACTGAACTGAAGTGCTTCAACTTACCACAAGAGATTGCTCTATTGTAGCATGCCTTTCCTCTTTTTCGACTGTTCGTCGACAGTCTGGACACACCCACAGTGGAAGATGCAGCATATTGTTTGCTTTTGGAGATGTGGAAAGTGCTGTTTTGCTAGAATTTTTTATTCCGCTCTCTGAAAGCGAAGTATCTTTTCGTTCACTTCTACAAAGAAGACAATGCTCGCCAGTTGTATATGGTGCCCTTTGGCCCAAGCCAAAGGTAAATGGTGTCTGGAAATAAAAGTTTTGATAGATAATTGGTTAGTCACAGAATACGTACCAGAAAAACTTATTCTGAGATTGTTTTTTTAAAAAAACCAACAAACCATATTTTAACAGTTATCATTAAATGGTCAATATTTGGAGTGTCCCAAGATCAAACACAACAGTATTAATATCCATGTGGCAAACAACTCTGATTATGAATACACTCCCATTTAAAAAGTAATGTTTCAAGTGAGCACGGACTGCAGCCTTCCCCTCTAAAGTAATTCAGCCTAGATGCAATAATCCAGTAAATAAAACAAAAAAGGGATAGTACAATTCCTTTTACTGTTGTCATTCTTAGAGATAAGAAAG